GGAGCTGGGCGCCGTCACCGTCAAGGCCTCCTACCGCTCCTCAGAGCAGAAGCTACGCGTGGAGCTGCTCAGTGCCTCCAACCTGCTGCCCTTAGACTCCAATGGTGAGTGGCGGCTGCCCACTGGCCACGCCCTGCGGCTGCTCCATGTGACTCCTGGTTACCAGGAGGGGTCATGCTGCTCTGGGAGTGTCTGCTGGGAGGACTCAGCCCCCTCTCCTGGGCTTCTCACCAGGCTCCAGTGACCCCTTTGTCCAGCTGACCCTGGAGCCTAGGCACCAGTTCCCCGAGTTGGCCCCACGGGAGACCCAGAAGCACAAGAAGGACCTCCACCCATTGTTTGATGAGACCTTTGAGTTGTGAGTAGGCCCCCACTCTTCTCCCGGCCTTCCCCTTCCTTCCTCCTGGGTCTTCCTCTATGAGCCTCTGAGATCATCACACTGGCCAGAGGGAAAGGGCACTTGGGACACCAGTTTGCCTCCTGCTGGGCCCTGGTGGCTCAGGACTGTAAGTCTTAGCTGCTCAGGAGGCTGAGATCTGAAGATTGATTCAAGTTTGAAGCAGCCCAGGCAGGAAAGTCTGTGAGACTCTTCTCTCCAATGAGCCACCAGAAAACCAGAAGTGGCTCTGTGGCTCAAAGTGGTAGAGTGCTAGCCTTGAGCACAAAAGCTCAGGGACAGTGCTCAAGCCCTGAGTTCAAACTCCACAACTGAAACCCTCCACCGCCCCCCCCCCCCTGCCGCCTGGAGAAAAAAAAAAAAAAAAAAAAGCATTGGCTTCCTCTAAGGGAAAGGGGCAGATTCCTATTCAATTCAGAGGCTTCTAGGGAAGTCTTGTCCCTGACATCCCGGGGGACCTGCTTTCTGTTGCCTAAGTGTGGCCCAAGGCCACAGATCTGTTTTTATTTTTATTTATTTTTTTTGCCAGTGCTGGGGCTTGAACTATCCCTGAACTGCTGCTGCTGCTGCTTCCTCCTCTTCTTCCTCCTCCTCCCCCTCCTCCCCCTCCTCCTCTTCCTTCTCTTCTCTTCCTCCTCCTTCTTTTTTTTTTTTTTCCTTCCAGTCCTGGGGCTTGAACTCAGGCCCTGGGCACTGTCCCTGAGCTTCTTTTGCTCAAGGCTAGCACTCTATCACTTGAACCACAGTGCCACTTCTGGCTGTTTCTGTGGTACTGAGGAATGGAACCCAGGGCTTCATGCATGCTAAGCAGACACTCTACCAGAGCGTCTTCTGGCTCAAGGCTAGAGCACTTGAGTCACAGCTATACTTTCAGCTTTTTTGGTCGTTTGTTGGAGATGAGTCTTACAGATTTTCCTGCCCAGGCTGGATTTGATCCTTAGATCTCAGCCTCCTCAGCAGCTGGGATCACAGGAATGAGTTGTTGGTGCCTGGTTGGACCCCTGGTTTGAAATACCAGCCCGTGGCCAGAGCAGGTGTTTCCGCCACATGGCTGTGACACGCGTGGCTGAGAGCCGATCTGGCGATGTCTGACCTCCACAAGGGGCATGGGAGAGGTGATGGCGCTTTCTGGGCAGGTGGCTGAGCCTGATGGTCTCTGCCAGCCTAGTGCCTGCTGAGACCTGCACCAAGGATGGGGCGTGCCTCCTGCTCACCGTGCTGGACCACGACACGCTGGGAGCTGACGACTTGGAAGGGGAGGCCTTCCTGCCGCTGCGTGCAGTCCCGGGGCTCACAGGCTGCGAGGAGCCCGCCGAGGCGCCTCAGACTCGCCTGCCCCTCACGTATCCCACACACAACGGTAGGCACCAGTCCCGGGACAGGGAGGGGCAGGATGCTTGAAAAGCACAGCAGGGGCCCCCTAGAGAGACCGCCTAGGGAGATGAAAGCCAGTGCAACCAGGGCCTTGGCTCCTGCATCTGAGAAGCCCAGCAAACCCCTTGACCTAATAGAGATCAACCGGTGAGACCCGCGGCGTCCCACGGTTGAAGGCAGCCATCATCTCAGCTGCTGTGTCAGGCTGGTTTCCTTTTAGGCTGGAGGGGGCTGGGGTGAGCAGGGCTTTATCTCCCAACCCAGGCACTGCCTCCCTCCCACAGCCTGACCCTCAAACCCTTCTCCCCACAGGGCACTCAATCCTGCAGCTGTTGGAAGGCCGGAAGAGTGACCGTGAGGCCCAGGCGTTCGTGAAGCTCCGGAGGCAGCGGGCCAAGCAGGCCTCCCAGCGTGCTCTTCGGGCAGGGCGGTAGCCGTGAGGCTGGGGGAGGGGCCGGCCTCTACGGGGATCCTGAGGTCAGTGGTGGAGGGTCCAGCAGTTGGAGAGCCCAGAGTACAGATACCCTATCTGCTCCTGTTGAAGGCAGGGAAGCCTTAGTGGTGGGACTCCAATAGAAATACCCTCCCTCTTCCCTCAAGCCCTGGCCTGTGTCCCTCTAGAAAAGCTACTGTGGTGGGACATGGTCCCAAGCTATTGGGCTGGGGTGTGGGCTCCCAGCCTCTATGGGGAGGAGGGGTGGTGGCAGCCATTTCTGGAGGAGCCCCCCTGGGGCAAGGGACTTTGGTTCTTGGGTAAAAGCAGAGCTGGTACTGAGAATCAGGCTGAGACTATCCCTTCCCCTGGACAGCACCTGCTACCCAGAGATGTTCTTGGCAAAAATAAAAAATTACCCACAACCCTTTGAGAAAGCCTCCTGGCCTACAGGGGAGCCCCAAAGGCTTGTCCAGCTATATTGACTCCTCCCCAGACCTCAAGACTAAAACAGTGTCTCCATCCCAGAGTCTCCAGCTTCAGAGCCAGGAGGGATCACAGCAGCAGGGGCACTGGCGTTGCCGGTACTTTGGCTGAAGCTCTGAACAGATGGGTTTTATCTGGTACATTGGCTACTTGCAGTTTCTGCCCAGGACGGGGGTCTGGGTGGGGGCAGCAGAGATGACTGCAGGCGAGCTGTCTGCTTGGGGGCAGGAGGCCCAGAGAGCTGGAAGATGGAGGCTGAGGTTCTGATGGTGGCTCTGGCTGTGGTGAGGTCTGCATGAGCTGACAGGAGGCAGAGAATGTGATTCTCACAGCCTGGCCCCTTGTACTGGGTAGGGTGAGGCAGGAGCAGGACAAGGTGCTTCCTCAGGCGACCTGCTTCGTTCGTGTGTGTGTGTGTGTGTGTGTCTGTCTGTCCTGGGGCTTGGACTCAGGGTCTGCCCTGTGCTTTTTTTTTTTTGCTAAAGGCTAGGAAAACAGCTTCACTTCTGGCTTTTTGGTGGTTAATGGGAGGTAAGAGTCTCATAGACTTCCCTGACTGGGCTGGCTTCGAACCTCAATCCTCAGATCTCAGCCCCCTAAGTAGCTAGGATTATAGTTGTGAGCCACAGGCTGCTTTCTTGTTATGCTTTGATGCTAACCATCCAGATGGGAATGCACTGTCTGCTCCTTTGAGAGACAATGAGGGGCCCAATTGCCTTTGGAAAAATATGAACAAGCAGGAAAGCACTCAGTGGAGGAGGACAAGAGCCCTGAACAGAAACTTCATATTTGGGTCTGTGTCTCAGGCTACTCGACCCCCAATCACGTTGGTCCCAGGGGACACTTGAGCTGCCCTTGGGCCAGGACAGCCCCCTCCCTGGCGCCCCCCCCCCCCCCCCCCCGCCTCAGCTGCCTCCCATTGGCAGGAGTGTGCACCGGCTGTTGCTGAGGCAGAGGCAGAGGCAGGCCCCCTCCCCACCTTGCAGTCTGGAGGTCCTCAAGGATTTGCCCTCCCCCCCCCATGAAAAGGAACGAACGCCGCAAGTTCATATTTTATTTCCAATAAGTTTGCTTTGATTTCTGCATTTTTTGTAAAAAAAAAAAGAAAGTTTTCACGTAATTCATTGAAAGCCCTTTCGTGCTGAGCCCAAGGGGGCCTGGACCGGGGCAGACTCTTCACAGCGCTCTCTGGCTTGCCCAGCACCGAGTGCTGGGAGCGAGGTCACTTTCCTCTGCCCACTCTGCCCGCCCCACCCTGCTGCATCTTTCTGTACAAAACAATTTTTAAAATTGAAGCTAAGACACAATATACATGGGACAGGCACGCACACACATGCACACGGGCGCCTGCCCAGAACGGCAGGACGTCAGCTGCACTCAGAGAGCACCAAGGAATGCATATGGAGCCTCTCCTGAAGAAGAGGGCAGGGCCTGAGCCCCCTTGGTCCTCAGGCCGCACTCCTCCCCACCAATTGCCCTGCTAGCTGCCAGAGGGAGGGGGCGGGCGGCAAGGGAGCCGCGTCCGAGGAGAGGAGGCAGGGATGGGGCGGGCAGTGCCAGCCTGGGAGGCGGTCATGGGATCAGAGAGGCTGTGCTGTGCAGTCTATCTAGGAGGAAAGGACTGAGGGGAAACCCAGGCCTCACGAACCTGAGGGAATAAAGCTGAGCCTTGCCCCTGGAGGGGCTTCAAGGGCCCAGGCAGGGGAGTGGAGCCAGCCCAGCGGCTGGGGCCTGCCGCTCCTCAGCTGTCCCCAGGACTACGTACTCATTTGGTAGATGGAGGAGCTAAGCTCGCTTAGCCCCCAGCACGCCCTCAGGCCTCCCTGAGGCCCTCACAGTTAGAACTGGGGGACCTGAGGCCTCTGCGTCTTGCCGCCAGCCCTGGTGCGGGGAGGCAGGGCAGGCAGAAGGTTCCCAAAGGCGTCTTCCTTCCCCTCCCCTCCAGCTTCCCACAGCTTCCCACCCCATCCCACACAGGCCCCAGGCAGGAAGAAGTTAAAAATAGTTAGTTCCTACATTAGAAAAAGAGACAAACAGATTCTCTGCCAAAAGGTCAGTGGGAAAAGAAGGACTTTGTCTCTGAGCGGGAAGGGTGAGGAGTAGGCAGGGGAGGACTGCAAAATAGTCTTTTCTTCTTTAAAAAGTGCTTGGTAAGTCTGTTTTAAAGTGTGTGTCTATATCTATGTACAGATATACACACAGACACTGTGCACACGCTGGCCACCACACACACCTGCTCACATACATAAATGTATACATATAATCATATACACATACATACATACATACATATCTATATATATATCTATCCATCCATCCATATATATATACATATAGATGTATATATATATATATATATATATATATACTTTAAAAAGTCCTAGGTGAGAAGGTCTGGGCCCGGCTGGGCCAGGCCTGAAGGGTCACGACTGAAGGGTGTGGGCCCGGCTGGGTTGGCAGACTGGACACTCACTGCCCTCGGCACAGAGCTCGCACAGCACCGCGTGTTGGCATGGCAGCACTGCCCGGGTCTGCTCCTGACACTTAAGGCATTTCACCGACTGCATGTGGAACACAGCCTGCAAGGAAAGCGACAGCGTGGTCCTGAGAATGGTCTTTGCCACCAGCCTGACCCCAAGATAAGCAAGAAAACCCCCTCAATTCTCACTTTAGCTGCTTTAGAGGAGGAAATGGAGGCACAGATAGCTTAAAAGTATGCTCACAGCACCCTGCTGGCAACCAGGAACAGGGTTCGGGTCCAGGGGCAAGACAGCATGCCACACCCAGCTGGCACTGACTGGGTGGGGGTGCCAGCTGGGCTGCAGCACCCCACCCTCAGGGCTCAGGCCAGCCCAAAGGTAGATGCCTTCGTGCATGTGAGCACATTCACCCAGGCCTCCATGTGAGAAACACGAAGCCAGGGGCGATGTAGGCTGAAGGGACCATGAAGGCAAAGAATGCTGTTTCTCAGGGGCATACCACCCCTGGGGGCGCAGCAGGGCGCCTGGGAAGGGAGGCGGTGCTGGCGGCCTGTACTGTGTGCAGTGCCGCTGGTAGACTAGACTAGCACGGTGGGCACTGGCTCCATGCTGGGCACAGGTTCTCAAGGGGCCGTGCACTGGCTGAGGCCAGGGTGCCCCTGTTCTCCCCCCCACCAGCCCCCCACTCGGGGCTGACCTTGTCCACTTGTTCCAGGTGGGCCCGAAGCTGCTTCTGGAGGGAGTGGAGGGTGGAAAGCGAGAGGGCCTCCAGGTCGGGGAAGGCAGGCAGGGCCGGGGGGGTGGGAGCCGAGTGCAGCCGCTCCAGCTCCTCTTGGAGCTTCTTCACCTGCACCTCCAGCGCATCCCGCTGCTCCCGGGCCAGCTCACACTCGGCGCCGGCCGCGCTGGCCCGCTCACTGGCCTCTTCCGCCTCCTTCTTCCAGGCATCACAAGCCTGTGGGCCCAACACGCAGCGCCTCATCACGGTGGCCCCCTGCCCCTGCCCCCCGGCCCCCCCAGAGAGCATCTCCGGGAGCCTGTGTGGGCCACTCTGGCTGCGAGGCCTGCTGGGAAGCTAGGCCTGCTGTCTGGGGAGGGGGCAGGGAGGAGGCTGATGCTGCCTGCAGAGGAGAGAGGTTTCGGGACCTGTAGGAGACTCCCTCTGCGGGCAGGGAAGGAGGCAGCGCCTAGCATGGCAAGAGCCAGTGCGGGGCTCATGCCACGGCCAGCTGGGCTGTAGTTGGACCAAGGTCCATCTCTGACCTAGTGCCCTGGGGTTCTGGAGGGTCCAGGCTTCCAGGGAGAAGCAGGAGGTCCTGTGGCTTCTGAAGGGGTCCAGGTCTGCGGAGTCCTGACTGGCAAGGTCAGTCCCCCATGGTGGGAAAGGGCATGCTAAAGGTTCTGCTCTGTTCTCCAGGCCCCTGCGTGTCTCCACCCATGCCCACTCTGTGGGGTGGACTAGGGCTGGGCTGGCAGGTGGGCGGGGGGCCCAGTACCTGCTTAGCCTGCTTCCAGGACTCCTCCCACTGCTTGATGGTGCCGTTGGCTTCCTCTAGCTCTTGCCGAAGCCGGGCCAGCTCAGCAGCCCCTGGCCCTGATAGGAAGGCAGGAGAAGTGCCTGGGGAGAAGCTTCCAGAGGCAAAATGCTCCCAGATGCTGCTGTTCATCCCGTTCAGACCTGCCCCGGGGAGGGGAGGAACGTCAGCTGTAAAGGGTCCTGGCTAGCCCCACCCGGGGGCTTCCAGGGAGGGTCTAGACCCTCGGCCATCGTGCCCCGTATGTCAGACCCCGATTCGCAGCCACAGGAGAGCAGGCTGCCAGGGTGCCTGCGACCGAGCCAGACCTCCACAGCTACGCAGTGGCTGCCACCTGAGTTGTGAATCTCAGACCCTCATTTGTAAAGTGAGGCTCTTGTCACCGGCCTGACAGGGACTCAAGGGCTCAGGATGTACCACCTGGGGGCAAAGATGAAGGTACAGACAGCTTGTGAGTGACCTCACTGTTCAGCTAGAGCTTGGGGATCAATCTTTGCATCCAAGTGTGAGACTGCAGAGGGTCCTGGCCGGCAAGATCAGGAGATGCAAGGCAAAAGCCACCGCCAGTGCCTTCCAGGCGGGGAAGGCCAAACTAGAGGAGCCAGGAGCCTCCTGTTTTATAGACAGTTTGTATGTGCTACCAAGAATCACCCCAAAGCAGAGGAGTATAGCAAGAGACAGTGAGGGCCTCTGGCTCCAAAGGCAGGCCTGCTCTTGCTCGTAATTTCAGGTGCCATCTGCTCACCCGCTTCCCTAACCAATGTGTTTCCTGCAATCTGGCTCCAGGGCAGCCGCTGTTTTTATGAAGTTCCCACGCTTGTCTCTGAGCGCCTGCAGCCCACACATACTATTCCAACGACTACTTCCTTGCTCCCTTTCCCACTAATCCAGCCAGGATGTTCCAGAACCAGAATTCAGGCCACCTACCCTCTGAGCAACACAAGTGCAGTGACAGCAGGGGGGTGCTGTCCTGTAGTGCCCATGATCCCAACTGCTCTGTCCTGCAAGGGACCTCCACCTAACCCACAGCCCTGCAGACACTGGCCTGCCTACACTGCCTGCCTGCCTGCCTGCACCACGCCTTCACCACGCAGCTGCTGGTGGTTACTCTCTTGGGAAGAAACTGGCTTTTGGCCAGGCGTCAGTGGCTCATGCCTGTAATCCTAGCTACTCAGGAGGCTGAGATCTGAGGATCACAGTTCAAAGCCAACCTGGGCAGGAAAGTCCATGAAATTCTTATTTCCAAGTAACTGGAAGTGGCGCTGTAGCTCAAGTGGTAGAGCGCTAGCCTTGAGCTGAAGAGCTAAGGGACAGTGCCCAGGCCCAGAGTTCAAGCCCTACAACCAACCAACCACCCACCCACCCACCCACACATACACACACAAGAAAGAAGAAAGAAGAAAAAAGGAGGAGAAGGAGGAGAAAGGGAAGGGGAAGGGGAAGAAGAAGAGGAAAAGGAAGAGGAAGAGGAAGGAGAAGAAGTAGCAGCACCAGCTGGCTCTTCAGAGACTCCCCCCAAAAATTCCCCCTCCTCCTGCCGCAAGTTGGAGGACTGCTAGGGAGCAGATCAGCACCTCAGTGGGCACAACGCACTCAGTGGGCACAACGCATGCCAGAGATACAATAACCTCTGACAAACTGGGCAAGTGTTGTGGATCTCCAAGAATGAGAGGCTTTCGGTCCCTACAGCTGCCCGGAGGAGTAGCACCTTGGGGGTTTCTGGATAGCTGCTGTTCACTGAGATGTGCTGGGCTGCCCTGTCTGAAGAGACACACCCCTGGTGGCAGAGCCTTGGGCGCCATGCTTTGCTTCTAACCACAAAATCTGGAGAGTCCAGTCCCCTCTGTTCTGAGGGGCTGCACTAGAGCTGGATCTCCGCATGCCTGGCCTACTGGCTGGCCCTGCTCTAGGTCTCTGGGACCCCGTGCGTGGGACCAGCCTCCTGAAGCTCTACATGCCTGGGAAAGTTGTTTTGCGGGGGAATCACCAGACCTAAGGACTGGCGAGTGCTGGACAGGCACTCTACCAGTGAGCTGAGCCCTTATTTGTATTGTGCTGTACTGTATCAGGCCTGGGCCCTGTGCTCCTTGCACTGGCCTGTTCCTTCCCCAGAGCATCTCATCTCCACCTCACAAACACTGCACACATTCCACAGCACAGGAAGCAAAGATTAAAAACCCAGTCACTTATTCTGCTCACAAGGCAAGGCTGGCGGACACTCCCAGCTCAAAGTGCCATGGACAGAGTGGCCAAAGGCATTTCCTAAAAGGCACCAGATTCTCCTCCTAGTTCCCCTCTTACCTAAAGATCCATGTGATGCTGAGGTCCCCAAAAATGTGTTTTCTGACTGACTGAGGTGGCCCTGGGGCTGCTGCAGGAAATGTGAGGCGAGGCTGACGGGCGGGGACGGGGAGGTGGAATGGAAGGAGGCCGAGCTGCCCAAGGAGCCAGGGATGTTCACGGGTGCAGAGCTCTGTAGCAAACTGCCACCTGCGAGAGAGGCCCCAGAGGGCAGGCTGGTTAAGGGTAGGGTAAGCCACACAGGCCACATGGAGCAAGGGACCCGTGCCAGTGGGCCCGGAAGCACCCTGCAGGCCACCCTGCCCAGCCATCGCCCAGTACCGATGGTGACGCTGCCAGGGTGGGGCACTGTGCTGTTATCGAAAGTCTTCTCTAGGGCAGCCACCCCAAACTCGTTCAGGTCCAGGTCATCCAGGGCAGACTCTAGAGACAGAGATTGAGATGTGGGCCTCCCCAGTGCCATGCCCCAGGCTTCCTGATCACCTCACCCCCTGCCCCTACCTCTGCCCACATTCATCCTGAAAGCATGTGCTATGTGCATCTCAAGCATCTCTTCTCTAAAGCCCCCAGGAGGTACCCCCAGGAGGAATCAAAACATAGCCTAAAGCTGGGCGCCGATGGCTCACACTCATAATCCCAGCTACTCAGGAGGTTGAGATCTGAGGATTCCAGCCTGAAGCCAGCTCAGGCAGGAGAATCTATGAGACTCATTTTTTTTTTTTTTTTGGTCGGCCGTGGGGCTTGAACTCTGGGCCTGAGCACTGTCCCTCAGCTCTTCAGTTCAAGGCGAGTGCTCTACCACTTGAGCTACAGCGCCACTTCCGGTTTTCTGGTGGTTTATTGGAGATAGGAGTCTCACGGTCTCTCTTGCCCGGGCTGGCTTTGAACCGCGATCCTCAGATCTCAGCCTCCTGAGTAGCTAGGATTACAGGCGTGAGCCACCAGCGCCCGGCATTGAGACTCATTTTTTTTATTCTGGTCATGGGGCCTGAACTCTGGGCCTGGCACTGTCCCTCAGCTCTTCAGCTCAAGGCTAGTTCTCTACCACTTGAACCACAGTGCCACTTCTGGCTTTTTCTGCTTATGTGGTGCTGAGAAATTGAACCCAGGGCCTCATGTGTGTGAGGCAAGCACTCTACCACTGAGCCACCTTCCTAGCCCTCTATGAGACTTTTATCTCCAGCTAACCACCAGAAAACTGGCAGTGGAGCTGTGGCTCAAAGTAGTAGAGTGCTAACCTTGAGCAAACAAAGCTCAGAGGCCCTGAGTTCAAGCCTCAGGACCATCATAAAAATAAATAAATGAAGCTGGATGCTGGTGGCTCACGCCTGTAATCCTAGCTACTCAGGAGACTGAGATATGAGGATCCTGGGTCAAAGCCAGACCAGGCAGGGGCAAGAAACTCCATGAGACTCTTATCTCCAATAAGCCACTCAGAAAAAACAGAAAAAACAGAAGTGGCGCTGTGGCTCAAGTAGTAGAGCACTAGCTTTGAGCTGAAGAGCTGAGGGACAGTGCCCAGGCCCAGAGTTCAAGCTCCAAGACCAACAACAACACCAAAAAAAAAAAAAAAAAGCCCAGGGACAGTGCCCAAGCCCTGAGTTCAAGTTCCAGGACTGGTGAAAACAAAAACCACCACCACTTTTTCATTTCAGACTGGTGCTCCAACACTTGAGACACATGTTCCACTTCTGACTTTTGGTGATTAACTGGAAGTAGTCTCATGGACTTCCCAGCCCAAGCTGGCTTCAAGCCGTGATCCTCAGATCTTGGCCTCCTAAGTAGCTATGATTATAGGCGTGAGCCATTGGCGCCTGGGGTGGCCCTATATTTTGAACTCATTTTCCCATTAGTTCCGGGGCTCTGGAGTGCCCGTCCTGACTCCCCCAAGCCAAAATGTTTAAGGTGTCTGGTCAAAAACCTTGTCTCTGACTCCAGGCCTGGTCCCAAGCTTGCAAACAGACCTGGCCAAATTACCTATGACCGACTCTACCGTGTCGCTGGTGGGGTAGAAAGGCAGAGCATTTGCATTCATGCCAGGGGCACTGCTGGTGCCTGCAGGGCTGGGGGGAGTGGCTGCCAGGCTGGAGGTGATACTGGAAGAGATGCTTGAGGTCAGAGGGCTGCCCACAGGAAGGATGCCCAACACGTCCTGCAACGAGAGTGAGGGGAGGCAATGGGGATGCCTGTCTGCAAAGACCATGGCGGAGGGTGGCACAGGCCTGGGAAGGCTAAGGGAAGAGGCGCCTTCCAGGTCTTGGCTGGCGACCCTGGGCCCAGGTAGGCGGCACCCCCATACCTTACTGAGGGGCTGGGGGGGTGGTGAGATGTTCTGGACACTCACCCTGCAGCCGTGCAGCAGAGGAAGAATGAGCATGGGGACTGGAACAGTGAGAGGCTCCTTAATCAGTCCTGACTGACAGGTGAGCGGGTCTGATGGGAGGGGCTCCAGGGTCTCTGGATTTGTGGCTAGGCTGGCCTGAGTCCTGCTCTAGCTTATGGAGAACGTGGTGTCCCACGAGCTAGGTGTACCAGAGCTTGGGCTCTGAGCGAGCCCTATCCATTGGTGCAGAAGGACTTTGGAAGGGGTTGAGAACTCTACCTGTTTGGGTTGAAGCAGAGGCTGTTCTTGACTCCTGGGTTCTAGTGAGTGGGGTTTTAGTTTAGCCTGGGAAAGAAAAGTCAGGGAGCAGGAGGTGAATATGGCCCTGGGAAGCAGAGCACAGTTCACCTGACCCTTCACCCTCCTACCCTAAGTAGGAGGCTGCTCCTCTCTCTCAACTAGTCTAGAAGGTTGTTTGTTTTCAGGCGTCTGGGAACTCCTGCTGCTGCCCCAGACCCCAGTAGCCCCCTGGGGCAGTCCAGGGTGTACCCTGCTCTTCTACTGCCTGCTTCTGAGATGCTGCACAGCCTCATGAGCCCTACTGTCCTCAGCTGAGAAAGGGAGTGGCAGTATTCACTGCTCGGCCTCAGCTCCCAGTGTCCTCCCCACAGCTAGCGCACACTCTCCTCTAAGTGGCTCATCCGAAGCAGGGAAAAGGTCACACTCTCTGGGTAATTGTTCTCTGCTGCACCCCTTACCTGGCACTTGAAATTCTTCAGGTACTCGGCTCCCACCTGATCTTCCCTCTCAAACCCAGGAGCTTTCTTATAGCTGCCAGGGGCGAGGCTGGATTCCCCTGGGAAGACAAGGCCTTCTAGATTTGGGGCTTTCCTGCCAGAGCCTGGTGGAGAGCCACAGAGGTGGGACGGGCTGCCCAGGCCGCTGTTCCTACAGAGGAGCTGCAGAAGAAGACGTGCACCAGTTGGCTTGACACGGGCAAGGGCATGACCTCTTTCCCACCTACAAGTTGCTGGGACTCAGTGAGGGGCTGCTGCTAACCAGCAAGGAGCATACAAGGGTCCCGACCCAGTGAAGAGTGGCACAAGGCCTTGTCCTTGGTCCCTTGCTGATTACCACAGGCTCTGAAGCAGCACACCTACTTTGATAGAGACTCAAGGCACATAAGCAGATCCCCCTTAATGCTAGTGCAAATACTAGGGTTTCCTCCCCAGGCAAAGGCTGAGTGGTCCTGGGCAGGCGCGGTGTCCACCCATGTCCCAGGACAGGAACGTACGGTGCTGAGGTCGGGAGCGTGTGGGCTGGAGGGGCTCACAGGCACCGAGTCTCCGGCAGCAGATGGCATGTACAAGACAGGACCTGGCTGGGTGGGGCTGGATATAGCTGAGGAAGGCTGTAGATCATCACTTAGGGGTGGTTCTGCGAGAAGGGGACAGGAATCAGTAGGTTTCCAAGCCATCTGGGTCCCTCAAAAAATGTTCTTGTGTATCTTCCAAAGGAGATCATACATCCCCCTACACCTAATGACCATCATTCCAGTGGTTTTTAGTTCTTTTTTTGGTCAATCACAGGGCTTGAACTCAGGGCTCAAGGGCTGTCCCAGAGCTTTTACTCTGAAAGCTAGTACTCTACCAGTTTGAGCCACAGCACTACTTCTGCTTTTGTGGTAATTAACTTGAGATGAGATTGTCTCAGACCTTCCTGCCTAGGCTGGCTTTGAACCAGGATCCTCAGATCTCAGCCTCCTGAGTAGCTAGGATTATAGGTTTGAGCCACTGGTACCTGGCTTGGTTCTTTTTTTTTTTTGGTCAGTCATGGGGCTTGAACTCTGGGCTTGGGTGCTATCCCTGCGCTCTTCAGCTCAAGGCAAGCGCTCAACCACTTAAGCCACAGAGCCACTTCCAGTTTTCTAGTGGTTTATTGGAGATAAGAGTCTCATGGACTTTTCTTCCCAGGCTGGCTTTGAACCGTGATCCTCAGATCTCAGCCTCCTGAGTAGCTAGGATTATAGGCATGAGCCACTGGCGCCCAGCTTTCTTATTTCTATTGATGTTGTATCCTCCTCTTGCTACATGTCAGGTGTGGTGCCTGTTACTTTTTTGTTGTTGTTGTTGTTGTTGTCAGTTGTGGGGCTTGAACTCTGGGCTTGGGTGCTGTCTCTGTGCTCTTCAGCTCAAGGCAAGCATTTTAACGCTTGAGCCACAGCACCACTTCCGATTTTCTAGTGTTTATTGGAGATAAGAGTCTCACAGACTTTCCTGCCCAGGCTGGCTTTGAAATAGGATCCTCAGATCTCAGCCTCCTAAGTAGCTAGGATTACAGGCGTGAGCCACTGGTGCTAGGCTTGGTGCCAGTTACTTTGTATTCAACTGTCAACCTCAGGCTGGGCAGCGAGGCCCTGAATTCAAGCACCAGTACCATCACCCAAAACAAAACAACAAATAAAACGTGTCAATCTCCACAGTGACCAAATATAATACAGCCAATATCACTGTCTCCCTTTTTATACAAAAAGAAACTCAAGTCTCCTAAGTCGCCAAAAATCTAGAATACAGAAGAGGTAGGATTTGAACCCACAATGTGACTCCCTAGCTTGAACTAGTGATCATTCTCTGTTGTCTTAATTGGGTGGTCCCAGTGCCCATGCTGGGTATTAGCTCTGTGCCCCTCATGATTCTCCTTCCCAGGGTCACCTGTTATTCTTCACTTCAATCGGAGCAGTGATCTGTGGTGGAAGGAAACTGGGGTCAACCCCAGCAGCCACTGCACTGCAGGGGCGTCTGGAGGGTAACACTGAGCATCTAGACCTGCGCTGTTCCCGCACAGAAGCCACAGACACGCATAACCACTGAGCACTCTGAACAGGCTTATTTGAGCCAAAATGGGATATAGGTATTAAAATATATATATCAGATCAACAAGACTGTACATTCACAAAAAAGCAAAGTGTTTTCATAAATTTTATATTGATTACTTCTGAAATGGGACCATTTTATATTGAGCTAACTAGTCCAATCTGAAGATTGTGGGTTGTTGCCACCTTCCCAGCCTGAAGATTGTGGTTCAAAGCCAGCCCAGACAAGAAAGTCCATGAGACTCTTATCTCCAGGCATCACCAAAAAAGCAGGAAGTGGAGCTATGGCTCAAATGGTAGAGCACTAGCCTTGAGAAAAAAAGCTCAAGATTAACATCTAGGCCCTATTCAAGCCCAAATCATCACACACCAAAAAAAAGTTGTTAAAATTAATCTATTTCTAACTGGGTGCCGGTGGCTCACACCTGTAATCCTAGCTACTCAGGAGGCTGAGATCTGAGGATTGCAGTTCAAAGCCAGCCTGGCAGGAAAGTCCGTGAAACTCTTATCTCCAATTAATTACCAGAAAAATGGAAGTGGTGCTGTGGTTCAAGTGGTAGAGCGCAAGCCTTGAGCTGAAGAGCTTAGGGAAAGCGCCCAGGCCCAGAGTTCAAGCCCCACAACCTACAAAAAAAATCTATTTCTTTTACTTTTTTTTCCAGCCTATTGCCAAAAACTTGAAAATGACATATGTAGGAGGGGAATTTAGGCGGGACACGTATTTTGATTGCACAGCTCAGCTGTTAGACCTGAGCAAGGCTCAGTAGGAAAGACCTCTGTGTTCCATTATGGCATCTGTCATGGATGGCATTTGCCATTTTCCCTACAGGAGGCAGGGTGCCACAGCTTAGGACTGTGAGTGCCTGACCAGAGATAGTCTGTGTAATCTCTACTTCATGACACTGGGAGCTCCAGAGCTTTGAAGCCAGTAGTAAAGAAAAAGAAAATGGTACTTCCATTGGGCAAGGCCTGCTGCAGGCCGGAGCCACTCCCCTTCCCGAGCCTCAGTGGGGAGTTAGGGGAGAGGAAGGAGAGGGCCCGGAGCAGGACAACAGGAACAACATACGTTCTACGTGGGCAAAGGCGCAGAAAGGTCCTCTGGGACAGCTGCCTGACTGCTGCATGTCGTTGCACTTGGTGGATTTATAAATCTGGAGGGGCAAAGCAGAGTGGGCTAGTCAGGTTTCCAGAATGACAGGCAGGCTCCCGTTCTTTCAGAGAGAGCAGCCTAGCTTAGTATCCCTCCCCTTCTGCTCTACTACAAGTCCCTCCCTTACAGTTCTTTTCTTCAGACTCAGACCGAGTCTTGCTATGTAGCTCAGGCTGGACTCATACTGCAATCCTCCTTCCGCAACACCCCAAGTATTAGGATTACATGTGCGTACCATGTCCAGCTTCTGCATACTAAATTCCCCAGGCAGCCTACTGCCACTGATGCCCCTTCCTTCTGAGGTCATCAGCTCAACCACCTCTCACAAAAGGATTGGTTCCTTTGGCCAGGGTTATGCTTCCTGGGCATTAAGTGAGCCAAGATCTCCTGCAGCCACAGCCACAGTCCCTGCCAAGTTACCTGCAGCTGGGATCTGAACTGGGTCTAACTTGCTACTCTGCTACCTGTAGCCACATGCGGTTTGACCCTCTCTGTCCTGGCTTCAATGGAATCAAAGGCAGGGACAGTATATGCTGCCCCTAAAAGGCACACTGACATGGCCCAAGTGAGCTGTGGTCCCCTAGGCTCCAACTTCTGACAGAATGTCTAGAAGGAGCTTTTTTATTTCTTAAATCCTATTGTCATTTGATTAATAAACAACCTAAGGAGCAGCCCAAAGCTTAGAATGGCTCTATGCTCGGTGCACACTCAGTGCCACCATGCCATGCCCATGCCTTCCCTGCCATGAGGCTTGAGGAACAAACTGGAAATAGAGGGCTGCAAGGGAAGGGTGGGCTCAGAGCAAAAGAAGCTGTATATGAAAGAATACAGGCTCCTCCAGGTGGTGCCTGCCAATCCTTCTTCCAGGCTGGTGCCAACACTTCCCCCTTACCCTCCTTGCTTCCCAAAGGGATATTCTGAGCTGCACATAGACCCGCCACAGGTGCCGGCCCGGCCTCTTATGACCTACCTCCGGATGGAACTGCTGCTCTGTGCGAGTGTGGCAATACTGGCAGGCATCTCCATTCTCACACTTGCTGGGATCTCCCCACTCATCCCCGTGTTTGACATTAGGACATGGAGATGACCTAGTCCAATGAGAGGGGGGTCAGACAGAGGGAGGGAGGGTGAAATTGGGACCAGTACAGCACCACCTGATTCTCTGCTCAGGGATCTTCTCTGGTTTCCCTGCCTTGCAGGGGCAAGTGAGAAATGGAAAAGACGAGTTGCAGCGTGAGGCTCTTGCTAATGTCTGAAGCTGGGCTGTTCCTCTGGGCTACTATCACTGAGGAGGACACTGCTTTGCTCCCCTCAGCTTGGCATCAAGTCCAGGCCAGCCCAAGACAGTCAGGCCACAGCCCCACCACACTCGCTGCACTGCGGCCTGGCCCTGCTCTGCATAAGCCCTACAGGATCAGAACTAGAGGGTGTCAGAGACTGTCTGATCAGGGTCCTCATTCATGCAAGACTCGGATCAGGCTCCCACCATTCAGCCATCCTTTCTAGTCCCTCCCTTTATACCTGGCTGTGATCTGTAATCCCCGGGGTTCACCTCCCCACCCCCAAGAGCCATGGTGACAGCAGCCTCAGCCATGATCCCTTCCCTGCCACTCCTCCCTCCCACAGCTGGCCTCCTGGGGCCAAAGGACCTGTATTTGTGCTTCCGGGGGCTCCGCCGCCGGTCCTTGCTGTTGTGGTAGTAGGGACAGGCATAGCCCTGGCGGCACAGCCGCGGGGGCTTCTTGCACGGCTCCGTCTTATAGTTGCCCAGCACATAAGCGGTCTCTGCACAGGGGGCCAGAGGGCAGGGGTCAGGGTGCGGAGCTGGAGCACCCCAAGAACCTCAGGAGTAGAGTGGAGGGAAGGCAAGGAGAAGCTACTGGGAAGGGATCCTGGCTACCTAGTCATGGCCACGGGCAGGCTGTGCAGGCCAAAGCCATGGTTAGTTAGAGCCTGGTAAACTGAGCAGGATGCTGTCCTTCATCAGATACTCATAGCTTACAGAGCCAGAGGTCATCCCATGAGTGGAGAACATAAGCATAATTGTGCACATTGGAAGCCTGGAGGGATCTTGGAACACTGTATCTGGGAAGATTCCTACAAGTGCCTTTAGAATGGTGGGTAAGGTGGGGTTGGGTGCCTCCCAGCAGAGGTGGTGGCAGTTGGAGGAGGCGGCGGGTGGTTGTGAGCTAAGTCTTTAGGGCAGCTATGGCAGGGAAGGAAAGAGGGCAGATGTCTGGCTATAGGGGGAGTGGCCACTCATGTTCCTCCTGTACCTTGCCACCGAGGCTCCTCACTGAGGATTTTTTCTATCATGGCGTGGCTCGCAGCTCCAGCTGACTGGCCTTCTATGCTGCCTTCTACTGTGGTCTGGCCATTCTGCAAGGCCTCCATGGCCTGGAGCTCCCTAGAAGGAAAAGACAGACCGGGTAGGGAGGAGGCATGAGACAATGAGAAAGTTTCATCTCTTCTTTGTGGTTAGCAGCAGCAGCAGCCCCAGGCCCCTGCCCCAGAACGCAGCTCAACACCAACCCACCTGATATCATAGACAGGGGAGCGAAGGTCATGGGGTCCGTGAGCAAAAGCACAGTGCAGGCCGTTCTTCGTACAATTGCCTTTAGAGTCCGTTTCGTGAATGCAGATTCCAGTTTTGTAGTAACGAAGGTGGTACCTGCGCTCAGTGTCCCCTGTGGTCCTGTGCAGGAATGGACACCTAGAACACAGCAGTGGAGGACATTCAACCTTGTCTCCTATGGCCTGGGCTCTCCTCCTCCACCCCAGCCATCCCTGCAATCGCTAACGGGCTATCACCATCACCTGTGGTGACAATCCATCATCGAGGAGGAAGGCAGCTAAGTGCCCTCCTGACCCCAAGGTTCCCCTACTGCCTGCACATGCTCAATGGGGACATTCTGAGTGGGATGGACGCTTGTAGAACTCAGGGGTTTTGGAGGGGCAATCGACCCCTTTGAAAATTGGGAACAGCTCCCATTGCCCTGAGTGCTTCCACAGGGCCCAGGGACGGGGTTAGGGGTGGTAAGCAAAACCTCTCTGAGAGGTCTCTCAAGTCGCAGTCACCCTTCTGCAAAGTTGAAACAAACGAGCAGCTGGCCACTGTCTCCTCAGGGACATTCCCAGGCTTGATACAGAGACTACTGGAAAGACATTTAGGGTCAGCAAACAGGAAGTGCTGAAGCCATCTGTCTAAACTTTCACCCTGGTGGAACTGTGTGAGGCGGCAGTCGGTGGCAGGACAGGAAGAGGACCTCTGGATCTGTTGTGGAGGATCAAAGGTCTGAGAGCCACTTTGGCTCAGTGGCCAGTTGTGGTCTCTTGGGTTTAGTGGTGAAAAAGCCCCACTACCTTCTTGCTATATCCTTGTGTAGGGTGTGGGGAGGGAGGGAAGGAAGGGACAGGTTTGAGTCATAGGTGAGCGGGGCTATCGTTAGTCCTCAAAGCAGCCACAGGCTGGCTTCCCAGGACTGGACTGGCCAACTCTAAGGGCACCTGACCCAGGATACCTGGGCCACCGCTGAGGGCAGGTGGGACACTCACTCGTCGCCTTCGGGGCAGAGCCCTGTGGCCTCGTCGTATTTGGTGCAGTAGACGTCAGGACTATAATTGAAGGTGCCGTCCCGGCGACGGATGGACCGGCGGCGGCGCTGGTTCACGAAGTGCCAGTGGAAGCAGGTGTAGGGCCGATGCTGTGTGCATTTGTGTTGGACGAAGAGCGGGCACTGCTCTGTGCGGAACTCCTTCAGGTACCTGCAGAGAGCCCGAGCCGCCGGGCCAGGAGCAGAGAGTGAAATTCCTTGCTGTGTCAGCAACAAGTCAGCCACCGAGTTGCCTAAGGGCTAGTTCCATGAGAGGCCCCGGGCTAATGTTAGACCTTCGCATTCATAGGTCTCAAGCCAATCTAGAAGGCAGGAACTATAGACCGCGAGGGTCTCGAGCAGTCGGTTGTTTGTTTGGGGGCCAGCTGCGGTCTTCAGCAGCTTGGCTGAGGCCTCCCTGAGGTTTCCAAGGCCAAGCTGCTAATCATGGGAAAAGGCACAGCCCCTCCTGTGTTTCCTGCAGCTCTCAGCTGCCCACATCCACCTGCTGATTTATGGAGGCTCCTGCATACCATGCAAAGGGCTGCTACTGTGGGCTGAGGGAAGAAATGTGCACTTAGGTGCTTTAGGGGAGGTCTGCCCTGCAGCAGAAAGCCCGGTCACCAGGTGCCCCCTGGACTGCTGACCAGTCACCTGCCAGCACTGTCTGGGCAGGTGTTTGGGAATCCGTAACAGCGTGCTAATGAACACCTCCCTCAGCCTATAATGTCCCCAGTCACTTCACACAGGACTATTTGTGAGGTTTAAACTCAGGGCCTACGTGCTGTCCCTGAGTCATAAGTGAGCCGGGCCATAGCCAGCCCTCAAAGCAGCCACAGGCTGGCTTCCCAGGACTAACACTACTACTTTGAGCCACAGCGCCACTTCCTGTTTTCTCATAGTTAGAAGTAAGAGTCTCACGGACTTTCCCGCCTGGGCTGGCTTTGAACCACACAATCCTCAGATCTCTGCCTCCCCAGTAGCTAAGATTACAGGTGTGAGCCACCAGCGCCTGGCTTATCATTAATCTCTTTGCCCTGCGTGTTGCACACAAATACCTTCAAACTCTGCCCAATGGAGGATCCCAGATCCACAGGACCTACCATGGTTTTCTTTTCTATTACCTATGCTCTAGTGAGGGTTCTCCTAGATTGAGGGAGCACTGGCAGGGGATGGGAAGTCAGTCTGGTTATCTTTATTCTCTCAAGCCTAACAATGCAGGTAACTGATGGCTTTACGGGGCCTTTAAACTGCAGAAGGCTCAAAGGCTGTGTACATACAACCTAGAGCAGAAAAGCCAAGTAGAAGCATGAGGCCTTGAGTTCAAGCCCCAGTACTAGCAAAAAGAAAAGTGCTTGGGGGGCTGAGAAGGTGGCTCAGTGGTAGAGTGGTTGCTTCGCATGCATGAAGCCCTGGATTCGATTCCTCAGGACCGCATAAGCAGAAAAAGCTGGAAATGGCACTGTGGCTCAAGTGGTAGAGTGCTAGCCTTGAGCTGAAGAGCTCAGGGTCAGTGCCCAGGCTTAGAGTTCAGGCCTCATGACCGACAAACAAACAGAAAAATGCTAAGGAATTTCCCCAGCCTCCAAGTATGGAGAAGTGACTATGTCTGGGATGGAGGGAGATGGATGCTCCTGAGTACAAACAGGGAGCGAAGGAGCAGTAAGGCTCCAAACCAACCCCCACCCTCCCTTCAACACATTTATTGAGCACTTAATGGATACAGCATGAAGCAATGAAGATATAAACAGGTCCTTTCTAGCTCTCACCCTCATGAGATACAAATAGCTCCTGAATTGATCAAGTATGGAAAGAGTTCTAAGAAGGGTTTGTTGGGCTGGGAAGGTGGCTCAGTGGTAGAGCGCTTGCCTTGCATGCCTGAGGCCCTGGGTTCGATTCCTCAGCACCACATAAGCAAAAAGAAAAAAGCCGGAAGTGGTGCTGTGGCTCAAAACTAGCCTTGAGCTGAAGAGCTGAGGGACAGCGCCCAGGCCCAGAGTTCAGTTCCACAACCGGACCCCCCAAAAAAAAAAAAAAAAAAAGAAGGGTTTGTTCAGAGTGCTTTAGGAACTCACAGGAAGGATCGCTGATGCAGGCAAGGGAAAAAGATATAAGGGAAAGAGGGGTACTAGTGGAAAAGAGGTGCTAGAATAGATCTGGGGGGGGGGGGGAAACCTGAAATAAATTTAGCTGGGTGCAATTGGCACACACTCTTATCTCCAATTAAGCACCAAAACAGCTGGAATTAGAGCTGTGTCTCAAGTGGTAGAATGCTACCCTTGAGCAAAAGAGTTCAGAGACACACAATTAAAAAAAAAAAAAAAAAAAGGAGGTGGCTCAGTGGTAGAGCGCTTGCCTTGCATGTATGAGGCCCTGTTCGATTCCCCAGCACCACATAAGCAAAAAGAAAAAAAGCTGGAAGTGGCACTGTGGCTCAAGTGGTAGAGCGCTAGCCTTGAGCTGAAGAGCTGAGGGACAGCGCCCAGGCCCAGAGTTCAGGCCCCACAACCAGATCCCCCCCCCCAAAAAAAGAAAGATCTTGGGAAAGGATGTTTCAGATAAAGGAAATTACATGAGTTCAGAAACAGGTTGTCTGGTTCCAAGAGCTCCAGGTATCTGTATGGATATGAGTGGAGCAGTAGCAGAACTGGGACAGGGAAATGAGAAAGGGGTGGGGTACAGGAGGCGCACTTCAGAGATTTCATTAGGCCCAGATATATTCTAAGACATGAGGCAGAAGTCTGGAAGGCTCCTCAGAACCTGGTGCTCTCCTGACTCCTGTCTGTCTCCTTGTTTGTCTGGTTGGAGAGAAAAGTCTATGCTTTGCTACATGCAGGTAATCAAGTCCTGCGTTGTAGGCCTGAGAGAATAAACAAAGAGAACTACAATGAACTCATTGTAAGAACTCAATACAGTGCTGTGAATAAGACAAGGTTTAGAAACAAAGTTTGGAAACAACTGCATCAAGGAAAAAAGTCAAAGACAACACCAATAGGCTCATGATGTCACCACTGGACAGAGCATCAAAAGAAGATGCTACTCTCTTGTGAGACGAACTCCAGAGCAGGTAACTCAGTTTAGCAGGCAGCGCATCAGAAAAGACCCTGTGAGAGAAGTGGTCAAACTCTAGCAAGTTAAATAAGCCCACTTTCAACCTACAGTACAGCTGGATGAGAAAAACATAAGCCTATTATTGCTTGCCATTAATGGAACTGTAACATCCATTATCTAGGAGCCAAAATGCTTGTTTGATTTTCTATTTTCCCTCCCGCTAACAGGGGTTCCCCAAATCAGAAGAAACCAATTAGAAATTTCTACTTTTCAGGCATTGAAATGAATGCTGAGATCAGCTCTCCAGAGACCCAGGAAGCCCTGGATTCTGAGCATAGGGGGGAGACTCTCCAGTCTCCCCTGACCTTTACCCTTCTGAGAAGAGGTAGGGCCTCAGGACTAAACTTCTAAACTTCAAGTTCCCATTTCCCAGACACAAGGGTATAAGCCAATAAACAGATGAGTTTCAAATGAAGGAGTCTTCCATAACCTACATGCACAGAGTAGGTCAAGAAAAACATTCAAGCTGGGTGCCAGTACCTTACATCTGCAATGCTAGCTACTCAGGAGGTTGAGATCTAAGGATCAAAGTTCAAAGGCAGCCTGGGCAGGAAAGTCCATGATACTTTTTTTTTGGGGGGGGGGGGGGGGGGGGAAGGAGGCAGTTAGTCGTGGGGCTTGAACTCTGGGCCTGAGCGCTGTCCCTCACAGTGCCACTTCCGGTTTTCTGAATGGTTTATTGGAGATAAGAGTCTCACTGAGTTTCCTGCTCAGGCTGGCTTTGAAACCACGATCCTCAGATCTCAGCCTCCTGAGTAGCTAGGATGACAGGCAGGAGCCACTGACCCCTGGCTTTCCATGAAACACTTGAGCCATGCCTCCAATCCAGCATTTCACTGGTTAAATGAAGAGTCTCCAAGACTTTTCTACCCAGGCTGTCTTCAAACCATTATTCTCCAGTTCTAATCCTCCCGAGTAGCTAGTATAACAGGAATAAGCCACTGGTGCACAGCTCATTGTTGGTCTTCTTACTAATTATCTCCCAACAGGGAGGAGGAGAGGCAAAGACACCTGGCTGGGAGGAAGCACTGGGCTGGGCATGGTGAGCCAAGTGATGGAACTAGACTTCATTTGCTTCTGCCCATCCCCCTTTACTGGACCTCAGATAAGGTCCACAAGGTGCACTGACATCAAACTCCTGTCTGTCAACACAGGCCCTGGTGGCTCAGGCCTGCACTCCTAGCACCTCAGAAGGCCGAGATCTGAGGACCACAGTTCAAAGCCAGCCCAGCCAGGAAAGTCCATGAGATTCTCATCTCCAGTTAACAACAACAAAGCTAGAAGTGGAGGTGTGACAGAATGCCAACCTTGAGTCCAAAAGCTAAGGGACAGCACACTCAGGCCAGTTCAAGCCCTGGTACTACCAAAAAAAGAGACATATTTTCTCTCAGTCACAATTTTTACAATTTATCATACTGCTAATCTACTTTACAAAATTACTGTTCTTTTCTTAAAATACTTCTAAATCAAATGCACTCATCTGCTTTGTTAACAAAAATCAAGTACTGATTTAGTTTTAATATTCATTATCTTTTATTTTCCAAATTTTGAAAACACAGCAAAAGTTGGGCACTCCACTGTGTCTTAGTACAGCATAATATATGATAACTAAAATGTTTTGGACTGCACTGCTGAGTGCCAACACAAAGTAACACCAGGAGAGAGTACCACTAACCTGAGGTTGCAGTGCTCAGCCTGGACGAGATAAACAGATGAGTATGGGTTCAAATAAAGCTTTATTTGTGCACTTGTTAACATTTGTTTAATTCCAAGTCATAAAATACCCCTCATCTACACCCATTAGAAACATTCTCAGCTCATGAACCACAGAAAAGCAGGCAGCAGGCTACGTCTGGCATGTAAGGCTGTAGCCTGCCAACCTCAGCTCTAACAGGTTCTCCAACACTTCATAGTTTGAAGCCAGCCCGGGCAGGAAAGTCTGTGAGACTCTTATCTCCAATTAATCTCCTGAAAACTGGAAGGGTCCCTGTGGCTCAAGTGGTAGAGCTCAGGGACAGTGCCTTGGCCTAGACTTCAAGTCCCACAACAACAAAAAAAAGTCAAAAGTGCAGGTATGGCCCAAGTGGAAGGTACTACCATGAGTGAAAAAGCTAAAGGACAGAGCTCAGGCCTGAATTCAAGTTCCAATACCAGTACAAAAAAAAAAAATCCACAGCTGATCCACAGCAAAAAGTAGCCCAAATAGGATAGGCCAGATACATAGCATCTCTTCATGGATGCAGAAAACATGGAGAAGCAACTCAGGTCTCTTTAATGTTTGATATCCACCACAGAAGGAAAAATGGAAGTAAGGAAAGAAAGAAGGATTGATTACTGGGTGCTGGTGGCTAGTGCCTGCAATCCTAGCTACTCAGGAGGCAGAGATCTGAGGATAGCAGTTTGAAGCCAGCCTGGACAGGAATGTTTATGACTCTTATCCCCCAACAAAACTGCCAAAAAAAAAAAACAAAACTGCCAAAAAAAACACAAAACTGCCAAAAAAAAAACTAGAAATGGAGCTGTGGCTCAAGTGGCAGAGTACTAACCATGAACAAAAGAAGCTCAGGGACAGTGCCCAGGCTCTGAGTTCAAGCACCAGTTCAGAGACACACACAAAAAGCCAAGAGTGGTGGTGCATACCTCTAATCCTA